ACAAAGAGAGACCATGAGAAAGAGATAAAGAGAGAAAGAGCGAACGAGAAAAAGAGCAAGCAAGAGGAGAGAAGCAGAGAGAAAAAAAAAGGGAAACCAAGAAGCAACACAACGAGAGAGAAAGCGAGAGAAAGTGGGAGGAAGACATCAGAAAGAAAGGAGAAAGAGAAAGCGAAGATAAAAATTAAAGATCAAGAGAAAAAGAAAAAGATCAAAAGACACAGATAAAAAAAATGTTAAACATAAACAGAAAAAGAAAAGAAGATGCAGTTAAATAAACAACAGAAACATCAAGAGGAGAAAGAAGGATAAGGAGAAAAAACAGAAAGTGAAAGAGAAACATAACTACAGAGAGATGGGAAAAAGTGGGAAGGTGGGAAGGTCCTTGAACCTATCTTCTCACCTCTGCCTCGCTGCACTTCTCATCCAGGAGACGGAATTCTCTAAGGGTCCACGCATTGAGTCACTGGGCACAAACTGTAACAATACATTCAGCATGCAAACAACAATAATTCCCTTTCCGGCTTTAGACGGTGCTTGGAACTAGTCGCAACTGATGTCACCCTTAAAATACAATTCCCTCTTTTGAGCTTAGTTTCCGAGTAATCGCCGATGGCGAAGATTCACCACCGTCCAAGAGCTCTTGGCTCAAGTCGAGGCGGTAATAAGCATTGGCAAGGTTTGGAACATGCAACAGTCATGCTTTGTTTCAACAATTCTTCTTGGATTTCTAGTCATTTGTTTGTTCGCCAAGCTCCATGAAGGGATCTGTTCTCTTGAATTGGTTTTTTTCTGTTTTTTCAGTTCTTTCTTTCTTATTTGCTCGTCCAAACTCCGAACATGTCCGAGATTGGGGTAGACCAGGTTGTAACTACTGTGTAGGACAAGGGGAACTTATGAACGCCGGGCGCGGCGTTTCACGCGGTAACTAATTATTACTTAAAAAGAAATTATCGGCGCGCGCTCGCCGCCAGCGAACAAAAAACGCGTTTTTCCGTTTTTGCTTTCCAACCTCACTCAAACCTGCTTTCCCAAACCCAAAGTCTTTTTCAGTCGAGCGTGACCACATCCCTCATTTCGCCTGCCGCCTCTACCTGTACACGAGGTGGGGCAGGGCTTACAAAAGGCTTCTTAAAAGCAGACATGTCTTTCCAAGTGAACCCCCCCGCTCTCTCTCTCAGACTTGCGAAGCTGGCCACACACCGAAAACATGTCTTGTCCGCCGAACCAGTGCTTCAGCTGGAACAAACGGACGTGAAAACGCATGATCTGCTCCATGCGAGGGCCTCTGTCGTCTGAAGAGCCAACTGTGTGGAAGGGACGCTTGCCGACCACTTTGCGGAAGGCAGCGAAAAAGCCATCAACCTTCTCGGAACCTCCAACCCTTTCCTGCTCTTCAAACCGGTCGCCCACCCAGACACGCACCGCATTCTCTTGGCGAATTCTGGGTGCGGGGCTTGTGTTTGACACAAGTGTGAGACAAACGCAAATCACCGTCCTCCAAACTTCCATCAAGCCAAGGACTTGTAGGCTTTGGCTCCGTCTGTGACAAACGGAGCCAAATCCCAGCACAGGCTCATCAGAGTCCAAAAGTAGAGGAAAGTGGTCCTCCTCCACCTTGACCTGCCTGAGTGATTCTGTAGCCAAGACGCTGCAGCCACACCAAGCTGGACCCTTTACGCTGCCGCATGAACCTGAGCCACAATTCCGTGAAATCTGCCCACAGAACGGAAGCCTCTCCTCCTCTTGCTTTTGCCACATTGTGCACTTCGATGTCCCACCTCTCACAGGTTAACGAGGCGCTTCCTTCACATGTGCAGGTGATTTGTTGCAACTTGGTTGTCGTCAAGCAGTCCAAGCGCACATGGCAGCTATTGCTCAAGAGCGGCAACGTCTAAAAGTGTGAAAACTTTGGAAAGGTTTTCAGCTGTGTATATGTGAAGAACTCTGTGCTAGGTGCTGTTGGACGTCTGGATCTGCAGCACTCTTTGTAAGAAGCTGTGGCAAAAGGCTGTACAACTAGAAGACAATTGGCCCGAAAGCATCATTAGCGAACGCTACGTTATAGAATCCAGTGCATAGAATTATAGACTCATAGCGCGAAGTGCATCTCATTATGAAGTATATGGCAATGCCGAGATCGATATTTTTGAATCTAGGAACTTGACTCTACGTGTTTCACTCTGCGTTCCTCACTCGATGTTGTCAAAGCTGTCGAAGCATTGTATAAACTTAGATATATGAAGTCAACTGCATACGGCGAAGTGCATAGAGTCAAGTGCATCAGTCAGGTGAACAAGTATCTAGAGTCATGGTGTCAAGCTGTTTCAGTGCAGCCAGGTCCGGTGGTCGGTGATCGTATTATCAGCTTCGAGACTTCAATCCCGGACCCGTAGCTCCACCCTAATCTTCCATCATGAACAAAAATGACCGAGCTTTCGTCCGCATGCGAAGCTATCATGCAGGCGCCTTGGCTCGAACAACCATGGAATCAATGCTGGCAACATCGCGAGCAGGTCCGTACTGCAGTTCGAAGCTTCTTCTTGCATTTGTCGGAGCTCTGAATGCGCTCGCTTCTTCCAATCGGCGTTTGCGACCTTCCGTGAGCTCCTTGTTGTGCTGGAACTTGGTTGCATTGTCTTGATAGACCCGGAACGTTGTCGCCGGCTGCATCTCCACGTCCTCGGGCGCCGCGTGCACTGGTGCCCGTAAGCCTCCGTCACATTCTCCACGTGCTCGCCCCATCCGCCGCCGTCCCGAGCCACCTTTCCCGCCACATCCTTCTTCAGCGTTTGAATGGCGTTGCGGCTGCTCGGGTCCTTCTGCCGATGCACCACGCCTCCCGGCAAGGCTCCTTCCAGGCCTTGGAATTCGTTGCCCTGGTCCGTCGTGACCACATAGTTCCTCTCGTCTTGCACCAGATCGGGAATGAATTCTGCGGCCGGTTGCGTCACCGTTTCCGCCCGCTTGTCGGGCAGCGCCTTCGTGGCCAGGTGAACACGTCCGTGACCACCAGCCCGAACTTGTTCCGGCTCCGGGTGTTCTGGAAGAATTCGGCCCTTCGGCCGCCGACTTGCCCAAACTTCGCGGCTTCGGTGCGAGCACCTGTCTTGCCACGTCGCTCCGCAGCGCCGCCTGGGCCCGCGCACTCGTGAGGTCCCGCCGCTCCGGGAACTCCCGTCGAGCGAGCTTCCTGGGGTCCCTGACGTTGAAGTCCCGGGCTAGCCGCCCGAGCAGCTCCATCGCTCCGTCTTCCGCCATTTCTAATCCGAGTCGCCCTTGCTCTTCTTGTTCTTCTCTAGGGCGAAGCCGATCTGCTCGGTCGTAGAGCTGCCGCTCCACGGCGTCGAAGGTTTGCTGGAGCTCCTCCTCCGGGATGGCCCGGACGTTCTCCTTGAGCGCCCGGTCGCTGAGGTTGACGAAGCCAGAACCAAAAATGACCTCTCCATTGTCAGAGAGGGCCCTTCCAAAGCCATCTAGAGAACAAGCGTCCGGAGTTGGCTCCGTAATGTCAGAGGTTCTTTTCGGCCCATGTGTTGCAACGATGTTTCCGGACGTGGAAGAACTCTGTTTCCTCCCCCTCAAAGAGTGGGAGTTGCCGCAGGAGTGGTTTACGAAACGTCCTTCGTAAATAAATGGTCCTTCCTCGTCTGCCTGTTGCTAGGAGACTTTGTCTGCCCGTCTGGCCCGCCTGCGACAGGAGCGTCAGGATGCAAAGGTGTGGTATTGTCTGCGTGTCTACAAGATGTCTTGATTGTCTTTCGTCCAACGCAGGTAGAAGCACGCAGAGTCGCTAAGATCCTGAAAGCAGAGCAAAAACGACTTCGCAAGGCATTGTTCTGTCTGCTGCCCCGTCGAAATGTAGATGTTTGAACTTGCCCAGGCCAAAACAGTAGCACGGCAGCTTTCTGAATCGCAGTACTTAACCCTTGTCGTTTCTCACACGATGGCGCAAATATATTTACCCGCGTTGAGCCCGGCACTGAGAGTGATCAGCGGTTAGTGAGCTTCGCTGTCGCCTCTCTGGTGTTGAACTGTTGCCCCAGCAGCGAGTATTTGTTGAGCAGTGACTAAGCTCTGCCAGCTTTTAGTACGTGAGTCAGTGAGTGTGAATGAGTGAGCTTTGCTGCGACGAACGGCTGCCTGCAGCGCGTAAATTCTTCTTCGGTGTCGGGTGAGCAGTTACCAAGCTTCGCTCTTTCTTTTCCAAGGGAATGAATGTTTACGGCTTTGAGCCCGGCGTTGAGAGTGGTCAGCGGTGCGAGCCCTGCCGAAGCAGTGGGTGAGAGAGCTTGGCTGTGACCCGAACTGTTGCGTGGCAGCTAGTAACTTCTTCGTCTTCGGTTGAGCGTGAGCGGTTCAGCAGTGTGCAAGCCTTGTCTGAGGCAGAGCACGAATGTTTTACGGGCTTTGAGCCTGGCACTAAAAGCGATGACTCTGCGGAGTGGGGTTTGCCATCTGGCAATGAGGTCTGCCATCTGATCCAGTGAATGTATGAGCATTGCCCAAACTGTTGCCTGAGCAGCTGGTAAACTTTCCGGCTAGTCAGTGACGAAGCCTTGCTTTGACGTAATCCCAGCCTTCTTTTTCTGAAGGCCACAAAACGTGGTTGCGTTGCGGTGTAGGGTGTAGGGTTTAGGATGAGTAAGTGAGCCTTGCTGTAGTCCATGTGGGCAGCCAAAACTTTTTGTTGACATCTAGCAGGTTTTTCCGAATGCACGAATGTGAGCCCGTCATATCATGCTCATTCGCTTCTGAAATGTTGAGCCTGTTGCAAGGTCGAAGCTGAGCGCCGTAGTCTTTTACGTAGAGCCACGCGCAGCATGGGAAATCTGGATCCGAAATTGTCCGCTTGCAGAAAGCTAGGACAGGCAGACTCTACTGATCCGCCGCAGTTTGATTCGAGATTGTATGCTGCAGGGTGTGAGGATACAGACGAGGGAACCTGAACGAGCCCAGAGGTGGCGGGCAAATGATTTCACCCTTAGGACAAAGCCGGTGGTATAATACTCAGCTGCCAACTGAGTTTGATTGACTCCGGCATGTCTGGGACCTTCCACCGTTCTAATAGTGTTGTACTACCCAAAGGGTGTGTAAGTGGGTTCCCTTGGTTTTTGCAGCAGATGGGGTGGGTTCCCCGTGGGTTCCCTTGTTTTTTGCAGCACTTCAGGTGGGCTACATATGGGTTCCCTTGCTTTTTGCAGCATTTCGGGTGGGTCTGTGTATGTTCTTCATTTAGCTTTCTTGTAGATTCCCATGGTTTTTGCAGCATGGACGGTGGGTTCCCTGTGGGTTCCCTAGTTTTTGCAGCATTTTTAAGTGGGTTCCCATGGTTTTTAACAATATCGACGGTGGATTCTCTGTGGGTTCCCTTGTTTTTTGCAGCACTTCAGGTGGGCAACATATGGGTTCCCTTGTTTTTTTGCAGCATTTCGGGTGGTCTGTGTATGTTCTTCAGATAGCTGTCTTGTAGATTCCCATGGTTTTTGCAGCATGGACGGTGGGTTCCCTGTGGGTTCCCTAGTTTTTGCAGCATTTTTAAATGGGCTCCCATGGTTTTTCACCGTCGATACGGTGGGTTCTCTGTTCGGTTCCCGGGTTTTTGCGGCATTTGAAGGGGGTTCCCATGGTTTTCCAATAGGCTCTTTTGGCTTTTGCAGCATGTCAGCTGGGTTCCCTGTGGGTTTCTTAGTTTTTTGCAGCATTTTTAATGGGTTCCCATGGTTTAACAGCATCGACGGTGGGTTCCCTGTGGGTTCCTTGCTTTTTGCAGCATTGCAAGTGGGTTCCCATGGTTTTCCAGCATATATTGCGCAAAGGTCTGGGCGGGCTCCCTTGGCTCTTGCAGTGTGTCAGCTCGGTTCCCTGTGGGGTACATGTGGGTTCCCATGGTTTCTCCAGCTCGCGCATTATGTTTCAGAGAAGAGTGGTACTGAAGAAGATGTTCAGGACAGTGGCTGCAGGTGTGGCCCAGTTCCATCGCACATCTTGCGCTGCATTTGGATTTGCTGCTTTGAAGTAAGGCTGCAAAAAGCACGTCTGCTATCTGCAGTTTGGGTCGAGACCAAAGACGTTAAACAGGCTCACCTCTGATGCACATGAGGCTCGCCGCCCTCCTGTGGTAATGCTCTTGATAAGTTTGCTGCGGCTAAATGCTGGCACGCTGATGCGAGGATTTTGCAGCATCTACTGGTAGATGTTAATCTCAGCTTGTATCTTCAACTGTTTCGATTGCTTGCTGTACGTGGGCTGTTTTTGCACTGGGAAGCTCCACTTGCAGGAGCTCTTTTTTCCTACAGAATCGTAGGAAGCCTCGAAGGGCCTCCCCTGTGCGGGAAAGATCTTGTACGAACAAGAACAGAAGCACTTGTCTTGAAACGGCAGCCGATGGCAAGTTTGGCAAATTTTCCAAAAGTATCTCACATTTCACAGCATGTTGGCTTTCTTGGACGTTGATCCAAACAGCATGCGGAAGGAATTTTGTTTTTCCGTGCAGTTTTCCAGCTGAAACGGGTTCCAAAAAGCAGCTCTAGTCCGGGCACCGAAACGGGGCTCCCGATTTTGGCTTTCTTCGTTGGACATACAAGCTCACGCAATTCGGGGCCCCAGATTAGAGCTCAGATTTGGGAGCCATTTCTGGGGCCCAGTTATGCCGTTTTTTCGTCGAGCAGATGCCACATCTGCGTGCACAGCTGGCCGTTGCGTGCAACAGTATATACACCTCGCCAGCTCTGTTTTGCATTTTGCCGGTGTTCCTTCAAAACTCAAAATAACAAGTGGAACGCTCGCAAACATGTTAACCTTGCAAACAGAACTTTCTCACACAGAGGAGGCCCTTCCAAGCATCCTAGAGAACAGCTTCCGGAGTTGGCTCCGTAATTCGAGCGTTCTTTTGGCCCATGTGTTGCAACGATGTCCGACGTGGAAGCACCTCCTGTTCCTCCCCCTCAAAGAGTGGAGTTGCCGCAGGAGTGTAGAACGTCCTTCGTAAATAAATGGTCCTTCCTCGTCTGCCTGTTGCTAGGAGACTTTGTCCGCCCGTCTGGCCCGCCTGCGACAGGAGCGTCAGGATGCAAAGGTGTGGTATTGTCTGCGTGTCTACAAGATGTCTTGATTGTCTTTCGTCCAAAGCAGGTAGAAGCGCGCAGAGTCGCTAAGATCCTGAAAGCAGAGCAAAAACGACTTCGCAAGGCATGGTTCTGTCTGCTGCCCCGTCGAATGTAGATGTTTGAACTTGCCCAGGCCAAAACAGTAGCACGGCAGCTTTCTGAATCGCAGTACTTAACCCTTGTCGTTTCTCACACGATGGCGCAAATATATTTACCCGCGTTGAGCCCGGCACTGAGAGTGATCAGCGGTCAGTGAGCTTCGCTGTCGCCTCTCTGGTGTTGAACTGTTGCCCCAGCAGCGAGTATTTGTTGAGCAGTGACTAAGCTCTGCCAGCTTTTAGTACGTGAGTCAGTGAGTGTGAATGAGTGAGCTTTGCTGCGACGAACGGCTGCCTGCAGCGCGTAAATTCTTCTTCGGTGTCGGGTGAGCAGTGACCAAGCTTCGCTCTTTCTTTTCCAAGGGAATGAATGTTTACGGCTTTGAGCCCGGCGTTGAGAGTGGTCAGCGGTGCGAGCCCTGCCGAAGCAGTGGGTGAGAGAGCTTGGCTGTGACCCGAACTGTTGCGTGGCAGCTAGTAACTTCTTCGTCTTCGGTTGAGCGTGAGCGGTTCAGCAGTGTGCAAGCCTTGTCTGAGGCAGGGCACGAATGTTTTACGGGCTTTGAGCCCGGCACTAAAAGCGATGACTCTGCGGAGTGGGGTTTGCCATCTGGCAATGAGGTCTGCCATCTGAGCCAGTGAATGTATGAGCATTGCCCAAACTGTTGCCTGAGCAGCTGGTAAACTTTCCGGCTAGTCAGTGACGAAGCCTTGTTTTGACGTAATCCCAGCCTTCTTTTTCTGAAGGCCACAAAACGTGGTTGCGTTGCGGTGTAGGGTTTAGGATGAGTAAGTGAGCCTTGCTGTAGTCCATGTGGGCAGCCAAAACTTTTTGTTGACATCTAGCAGGTTTTTCCGAATGCACGAATGTGAGCCCGTCATATCATGCTCATTCGCTTCTGAAATGTTGAGCCTGTTGCAAGGTCGAAGCTGAGCGCCGTAGTCTTTTACGTAGAGCAACGCGCAGCATGGGAAATCTGGATCCGAAATTGTCCGCTTGCAGAAAGCTAGGACAGGCAGACTCTACTGATCCGCCGCAGTTTGATTCGAGATTGTATGCTGCAGGGTGTGAGGATACAGACGAGGGAACCTGAACGAGCCCAGAGGTGGCGGGCAAATGATTTCACCCTTAGGACAAAGCCGGTGGTATAATACTCAGCTGCCAACTGAGTTTGATTGACTCCGGCATGTCTGGGACCTTCCACCGTTCTAATAGTGTTATACTACCCAAAGGGTGTGTAAGTGGGTTCCCTTGGTTTTTGCAGCAGATGGGGTGGGTTCCCTGTGGGTTCCCTTGTTTTTTGCAGCACTTCAGGTGGGCTACATATGGGTTCCCTTGTTTTTTGCAGCATTTCGGGTGGGTCTGTGTATGTTCTTCATTTAGCTTTCTTGTAGATTCCCATGGTTTTTGCAGCATGGACGGTGGGTTCCCTGTGGGTTCCCTAGTTTTTGCAGCATTTTTAAGTGGGTTCCCATGGTTTTTAACAATATCGACGGTGGATTCTCTGTGGGTTCCCTTGTTTTTTGCAACACTTCAGGTGGGCAACATATGGGTTCCCTTTGTTTTTTGCAGCATTTCGGGTGGTCTGTGTATGTTCTTCACTTAGCTGTCTTGTAGATTCCCATGGTTTTTGCAGCATGGACGGTGGGTTCCCTGTGGGTTCCCTAGTTTTTGCAGCATTTTTAAATGGGCTCCCATGGTTTTTCACCGTCGATACGGTGGGTTCTCTGTTCGGTTCCCGGGTTTTTGCGGCATTTGAAGTGGGTTCCCATGGTTTTCCAATAGGCTCTTTTGGCTTTTGCAGCATGTCAGCTGGGTTCCCTGTGGGTTTCTTAGTTTTTTGCAGCATTTTTAATGGGTTCCCATGGTTTAACAGCATCGACGGTGGGTTCCCTGTGGGTTCCTTGCTTTTTGCAGCATTGCAAGTGGGTTCCCATGGTTTTCCCAGCATATATTGCGCAAAGGTCTGGGCGGGCTCCCTTGGCTCTTGCAGTGTGTCAGCTCGGTTCCCTGTGGGGTACATGTGGGTTCCCATGGTTTCTCCAGCTCGCGCATTATGTTTCAGAGAAGAGTGGAACTGAAGAAGATGTTCAGGACAGTGGCTGCAGGTGTGGCCCAGTTCCATCGCACATCTTGCGCTGCATTTGGATTTGCTGCTTTGAAGTAAGGCTGCAAAAAGCACGTCTGCTATCTGCAGTTTGGGTCGAGACCAAAGACGTTAAACAGGCTCACCTCTGATGCACATGAGGCTCGCCGCCCTCCTGTGGTAATGCTCTTGATAAGTTTGCTGCGGCTAAATGCTGGCACGCTGATGCGAGGATTTTGCAGCATCTACTGGTAGATGTTAATCTCAGCTTGTATCTTCAACTGTTTCGATTGCTTGCTGTACGTGGGCTGTTTTTGCACTGGGAAGCTCCACTTGCAGGAGCTCTTTTTTCCTACAGAATCGTAGGAAGCCTCGAAGGGCCTCCCCTGTTGCTGCCCCCCGATGTTGGCTCGATCGCCAGGTTGGCCAGGCCGTTGTGGTGTTTAAACTTATGAACTGGGACTGCGCGTTGAGCTCGCAATTGCCACTGGCCAGCACCTTGAGCTCCGCCACGCCCGCCTGGTTGTTGGCGTCGAGGAGCAGCTTGGCATCTTCCGTGGGCGCGGCGTTGCGCACCACCACTCCCGCAGTGCCGTCCGTAGGCCCCACCGCGATTTGCTCCAGCAGCGGGCTGAGCACCTGCACGCCGCTGGTCGACAAGCTCAGGAAGGGCAGGCTGGCCTCGGGACCCAGCACCCCGTTGATCCGCACGGTGTCGTCCATGAATGCCATTGGTGCCGCCCTGGACGGTGAGCCAGGGCGCCGTCGGATCAGAGCGCACCAGGGACGCCTCGAGCCTGAGGTCGCTCGTGATTTCCTGCTCACCGAGCTGCTGCTCGCAAAGCTCCCCGTGGCAGCGGTGCTGCCGACGAAAAACTGGGCGACGTCCGCCGTGGTTGCATTCAAAGTGCGGTCCGAGTGCACGGTGATGTCTTGCTCCAAGCCGATGCTTCCGGCAGCGAAGGAGGCCACCAATGTGCCGTCTTCGGCGCGGATGGTGGTGGTGCCGTTTCGGATTTGGAGATCGGCTGCAGCGCTCTGCAGCAGTGGTGTCTGCACGAAGCTTGTGGCCGTGAGGCTGTTGACGGTGAGGTCCGCCGTGGGGTCCACTCCTGGGCTGTTCTCCAGGTCGGTGACGCGCTGGCCCAACGAATTGAAGTTGGCTATCAATGGGTAGCGGGTGTCAGACTGTCCCTTGCTCCAGCAGTCGCAGCTGATTTGGAGGGTCGACCCATTCCCCAGGATGGGCTGGGCGGAGAGAGGTGATTGGCGCAGAAGGTTTCTGATGATGCGAGGGGTGAACTGGGTCTGGACTAAATTGAAGATCCCACCGCCCTCTGCACCGGGGCTGTTGACGAAATAGCGGGCATCCAAAGGTCCGAGGTCGTTGGTCCTCAGGAAGCGGCCATCCGCCTCGGCCTTGGTCCAGGAGAGCGGAGCCGCAGTACTTTGATTGCCCAGAATTGCGTCGCCCACCAGGGGCGCCTCGAAAAGCAAATTGCGGACGATCCTGGGCACGAATTGCTCTTGGACGAGATTGAAGATCTGTCCGGACTCCACGCCGGGAGCGCGCACAAAGTAGCGGAGATCTGCGTCCGCCTGGGTTTGGAAGCCCGCGCCGGCATCGTCGATCTCCGTTTGGGTGCGCCCGCTGGTCCAGTACTGGGTGAGCGTGGCCGTGAGCAGGGAGTCCAGCTCGGTTCGGGGGTAATATGCCAGCAGCTCGCCACGCAGCTCTGCGTCTCTGCCTGGTCGTAGTAGCCCGAGAGATCCACGTTGCCGAGGGCGTTGGCTATCTCCTGGTCTACTTCCGCCCGCGTGTAGAAGTCCAGCAGAGCAGTTATTATCTTGCTGTCGACGACCCCGCTGGGGTCATAGCTCGACAGGGCCGAGGAAATGCTTGAGCTGACGGAGGCAGACGTCGCGTAGTTGGCCAGCTCTCCCGCCACGAAGCTCTCGGCTTGGGTCCAATAAGCCAACAGGGCCTGGTCGATCAGGAACTGCACCCCCGCAGCGTCCTGGTACTGCCCGACGTTCAGGGCAGCGATGGCATCGGAGATGGCGGTGTTCATCTCCGAAGTGCTGCTGTAAGCTCCCAGGGCATCGGCGATGGCCGTGCCCACCTGCAGCGTCGTGCTGTAGGCGGCCAGGGCGGCCAAGATCTCGTTGCTCACCCAGGCCAGGGGAGCCAGCAGGGCGTCCGTTTCCCCTTTCGAGTAGCTGTCCACGGAGAAGCTGAGGGTCCAGTTGTCGTTGGCCAGCTGGATGCTCAGCGGCCCCGTGGCGTGCAAGTTGCGGATCTGATTGGTCCCGGCCAGCAGGTCCCAGGTCACATTCCCGGGCCAGGCCGGAGCATTGACCAAGTTGGTTGCGCCGCCCAGAGTGGCGATCTCCGCCAGGATGGCGTCGATGGATGCCTGCAGCGCTGTGATCTCGCTGGGCAGGGCGAAGGGCCCCGCGCTCTGCAGCGCCAAGATGTCGGCGTCGTGGCCGTCCAGCCTCCAGGGCGGCGTCCAGAGCCGCCTGCTGGACGTAGGCCAGCAAAGCCGTGGCGACCCGCTGGTCCACGTCGGCGGCTGTTTGCCGGGCCGCCAGATCGATCGCCAGCTGATCGACCACCGACTTGAGGGCGTAGTTTGCCGCAACAGTCGCCAAGGTTGCGTTGTTTGTGGAGGTGATGCTGCTGTTCATCGCAGCCGTCGTGGGATGGTTGGCCAGCTTGAGGTCCACCGAAGCGGGCGTGCTCTTGGCATTGACCTCCACCTGAAGAGCATCCAGGGCCGACTGGTTGGCCTTGGTGGCCAGGCCCTGGGTCAGGCTCGTGTTCACGGCCACCAACCCGGAAGCGTTGGCCACGATGGAACCCTCTGCCACGGCGAGGTCCGCGGCCAGAGCATAAGGGGTTAGGTCCGGAGCTGCGGGCAGGGCGGCCACCTGGCCCTGTAGAGCTGCGATGGCGGCGGCGTTGACTCCGATGGCCGCGGTGTTTGCCGTGTGCTCCGTTTGGGGCGTATAAGCCGTGAGCACGGTGGCCAGCTGCCCGGCGGAGATGCCCTGGAGCTCGATGACCGGTGGTGCCGTGACGCCGTCGTCGAGGATCCTCCCGGTGAGGGTGGAGGGAAAGAGTGACATTTATATCTAGTCCAAGACGCTGACCCCGCTGCCCGAGAGGGTCACGATTTGCATCGAGACCAGCCCGATGAAGCACTGATCGACGCGGTCCGCGAGCATTTGCTTGAATGTGAAGCGGCACAGGTCGCCGCTCCTTGTCGACAAACCGCTGGTGGGGTGCTTGGGTACACGCTCCGTGGGGAACGCCGCAATGAAGTGCGTGTTATCGTAGTTCGGCAGGCGCATATTTCGTAGCTTTGAATCGTAGGTGCCGGCCATGATGGCGAGGAAGTGGTGGTATTCGGCGATGCTTTTGACACTGTTTCTGGGGAATTGCATGGCCCCGAGCTGCAGCTGGCCCTCCATGACCGTGGCCGCCGAGACGTTGGGGAAGGCCTCGCCGGGGTATTCGAAGTTGGAAACGTGGTTCTCGCCCGTCTTGTTGAAGTGCACAAAGGCTCCCAAAAGCTTTGTAAATGCACGTGCAACCGTGATATTGTAGCTCGTCGAGCCCGCCGGGATCGAGGACTGCTGCACGTGGAGGCTCGGAAAGCTGAAAAGTAGACTGCGATTGGACAAAAGTATGCGCTCGAAGCTCTCCCTGAGGGCACTATCAAGGGTCACCTGATCGGCCAAAAGGTGCACATTTTCGATCTGATACGACAGGCTGGAGCCCACGCCGGCGCTCATGGCCTGCTCGGGCTCGGCGAACTCGATCTCCAGGACGAGATTTAGCTGCGGCGGCAGCATTTTGCCGCAGTTGAACATGCCCAGAAGGTGCGGGTGCATCAGCACATCGCGCTTTTGCCCCGGCTGCACCGGCTGCGCCCAGCCGCCGGCGTCCACCGGGAGGCCCTCCCAGTGCAGCTCCGTCCACCAGTCGGACGGCTTCAGTAGCGAATACATGAAGCAACTGCGCCCGTAGTAGCTGATGTCTTCCACCCGTTGCCCGTTGGCGAAGAGTTGCATCCTCTGAAACAACTCGTAGCATTGTTTCCTGATGCCTACCTTTTCTGGCTTGTACGCAAGTGAAGCGCTTCACTACTGGGAGTACCGAGCCTCTGATCAGTACTGAGCTGTAGCTTTTGTGCCTTAGTGGTAGTTCGTCGTTGTTGTGGGTCTGCTGGCTCTTGAGCCGGGGCCCTTGTTCTCTGAAGTCTGCTTTGCAGTTAGCTGCGGGACGAGTGCGTTTAATACGTAGCACTTTGGTTACTCAGTGCCGGGCCTGTAATATCAGGCTTGCTCTTGTTTTCCGCCGCGCCTGGCATGTCTCACGACGTGCTGCGACCACAAAGACAAAAAAGTTGCATCCTCTCGATGAAACACGAGGGGTCCGGCGAGCCGCAGAGCATGTCGCTGGAGCCGTCCGTGTTCCGGAAGGTGAAGGCCAGCTTAATCGATTCAGGATCAACAAAATCGCTTCCTGAGGTGATTGGTATACGGCATACGCGGCTGGTTGTCGGCGTGAAGGTGCTCAGGGAGCTCGGAAAGTACTGCACGGACTTGCGGCTCTGGATGTAGTTGGTGTTCCCCGTTTGGAGCTTGTAGTCGAGCGAGGCCACCAATTCGTCATTGACGGCTTGCGTAACCTGCTCCATCTCTCTTTACATACTTACGCAGCTTCCGGTTCGCTCGCCTGTCGAAGGGCGTCGAAGGACGGCTGGGTCCCGAGGGGTCCCCGGTCGCCGCGGGACTGCCGGCTGACGCGGGAGCGGTCGCTGTCGGAAGAGACCGGGATCGGGATGTTGTTGAGGCCAAAAGGGGTTTGGGCCTGGGCTCTGGGGCGGCGAGCCGGTCGTGCGACGATGCGTCGCTGCGGCTGGGGCCGCGGCTCCTCGTCGGTGTCGCTGAGCGGGAAGACCTGGGGTCGCCGCGCGGGCTGCTGCCGGCGCTGCTCCTGGATGAAGTAGTGGTCGATGGCGCCCGATTCCTGCATCCCGTTCAGCGTTGCAAGGTCCGTGGTTTGGCTCGGCCGCGAGGCGTCGCTGTCCGTGCCGCCGCCAGTGGCAGCCCCCCAGCCCGTGAGGGCGGAGGCCGCGTTCAAGCCTCCCTCGATGGCCCACGCGGTTCCGACCAGTGCCGCGCCTGCAGCGGCCACCGCCAATCCGCCCGCCAGAGCTCCTCCCGCCTGCTTCCGCTACCGCTGCGGCCTCCGCCGCGCCCGCCGCGGCTTCAGCCGCCGTGGCGAAGCCTTCGGAGGCCTCCGCCTCGGCCAGTTGCTGCGAGGCAAACGCCTCGATGTCTTGAGCCGCCGTGCGCTCCACCTCTGCGGCTCTTTGGCCCGCTCTCTCGAGCAGGGGCTCGACCTCGCTCGGCCTCCCGATGATGTTGGGCGGGGGAACCTCGTCCGGCGGCGGTGCCAAACCGGGCGGCCTTCTGGGGATGCGCAGCGTCCGGTCCAGCCAATCGCCTTCGCCTCTGAGAGCCAGCAGCGTTTGGTTCTCTGTGACGCTTCTCGTCGCAGCTGCAGCGCCAGCAGCGCCTCCAGCGATGATCGCCTCCGCCGCCTGGATGCCCGACTCCCTCATCCTGCCACCTAGGGTCGGGGGCCTCGGTGGATTGAGCCCGTCGTGGCCGGGATCCATGCCCCCTCCGTCGGAGTCGGGCAGGAAGGAGGGCCT